GAGCAAGTTTTATCGGAATTACAGAGTATTTCTTCACTGAAAGAAGAGCAAAACACTGCTCAAGATGTTTTTGCTCTTCTCCCGACTGGTTTCGGCAAGAGTTTGGTCTATCAATTGGCTCCTCTTCGTCGTCACTCTGTTACGGTCTTATGCTTCGTTGATCTGATTGGTTTATTTGGCCCATCTATCACCAACATAGGCCAATCAGCTAACCAGTATTTTCGCTCCTTCCCAAAATTACTTCAACGGAAGTTTTCCAGATGGATATGCGGAGCAAATCCATCTGGCGGAGTCAGGTTACATCAACACCTCCTTTCTCCGCAAATCTCACAATTCTAAACTTCCACCATAAAACGGGCGAATCCAAACGAAGCACCGAGTTGACGTAAAATTGGTGATGTTGCCTTATTTGGTTCTGGCCTTTACTTTTGTCACGCCCCGATATTAACATACAGACCTGCCCACTGGTTTACTTGCTCAAGGGTTTGCGAGGGAGGGGGGGGTATGAAGTGTTGACTGCTGGGCCGCTTACTGGACCGGACCTCAGCAGAGAGCCATGTATCGCCTGTCCTAAGCCGGAGGACGGGGGCTGGGGGACGGTAATGCAGGCGGGGGAAGCACAGGGTCAAATGTCGGTTCGGTCGCTTTGTCCCCCGCTGGCTCCCAGCCCCCGTCCACTGGGGTTCCCAGACCAGCCCCGGAGCTCACGGCTTGGTTCGAATGCCTGGTGTGTTTTAACTATGTGCTGCACTGCAGTCGACCAAAATCCTGGACAATTTTAAAATTCCCCCCAGACATTTTTTTAGGTAATAAAGGTAGGACATGTCTGGAAAAAAGAGGACGTCTGGTCACCCTGCCATATCAACAATTCGATGTTTCAGTGAGTGTGTGCTTGTTGCTATGATGCATCTTTCTCAGCAGCTTCTCTCGTTGTAAACCAACCAATCAGCACACAGCTTATCTAAATATTCATGATCATACCATAAAAGGAAGAAAACCTATCGTTTCATTCTGGGGCTTTTAACCAGGCTTTCATTAGGGCTCATAGAGCAGCAAATATGCCATTTTCAGCCCAACCAATGTTACAAACCCTATTCAGAGACCTTAAGGACTATATTCCCTATAGAATCATTCTGAGACCTTAAAGAAGAAAAGGCAATATTCTGAGATTAAAGTAAGACATTCTTACTTTTTCCCATATTTAAACTTCAAATGAAAGAAAAAAATCTGTATTTTATTTTTATTTTTTCCAGTGGTCCTAATTCCTCTTCCACAAATACATGACGCAAATACTAAATATACCATCAATATCTAAAAAAGCACAGTCAGAAAGGTGAAAGTCCCACTGAATTACTGAAACGGGTCACATGCTGAAACTTCTTTAAGCTGTCATTTCTGCTCCATAAGACACTATGGACACTTCCTGGTTTACATGTGCTGCCAGCAAACTGATTGTGTTTCTAAAGACAAGTATGACATGTCTCAAAATAAGTCAATGTTAATTAAGTGTCTAACTTGAGCAGGTAAATAAGAAAATCTTTCAATGGAATAAATATTTCTACCATTAAAATAAGACAATTAAATACTAGTCTTTTTTCTTTTATGTAAATCATCTTATCTGTTGTCAAATTGCTTCCATTTCATCTCAATTAAAGGGAAAATATACTTATTTGAAGAAAAATCAACTTACTTATATGTTAGTTTTTGCAGAGCAGAAGAATGTTTTTATCCAGTCACCAGTTTTTGCACAGAACCTGCTTTTTCAATCTCGTTACTTTGTGTTATGGGTATCCTGTGGCCCTTTATTAAAGGCGGAGATCGCTATGGCAACCAATGACTAAGGTAGGAAATGACAGCAGCAGCCAGTTTCTCAGCAGATGTTCTTTCTGTTGTTCATGTTTCCGCTCAGCTGTTGGATCAAGAACAAGAGCGTCTTCTACACCACCTGTGTGGGTTACTTCTGCCTGATGTTCCTGCTCAACGTGGCCATGTTCATTGTGGTGATGATGCAGATCTGCGGCCGCAACGGCAAACGCAGCAACCGCACCCTGCGAGAGGAGGTCTGCGCTCAAACTGTACATTTCTGAAAACCAAACTTTATTCATAAGGGAACAATAGACACAATCCATTTAGCTATAACAAGGAGATATTTGAGTTCATTGTTCGCTGAGGAGTATTTGATCTGTAATATTTTAAATATGAGGGTTTAAATGAAATTAACTCTCCATTCTGATCCAGGTCCTTCGAAATCTGCGGAGCGTCGTCAGCCTCACCTTCCTGCTTGGGATGACGTGGGGCTTTGCTCTGTTCGCCTGGGGGCCCGTCTACCTGACCTTCACCTACCTGTTCACCATCTTCAACTCTCTGCAAGGTTCAGTATCTAGCCTGTCGGTTCTGAGCTATGCAGAAAATCCAGCCGATTAGTTTTGTCTAAAGCATTTATTATAAGATTGTTGCATTGTTGCC